ATGAATTTATGTCAATATCTTTGGCATCAAACTGTAGATTATAATTCAAGTTTAAGTACTATCTATGACTCAATTTCTTATTTTAAAAGCAGATATTTAAAAAAAACACAGATAAACATCGATTTTTGTGTGTCGTATGGTGAATGCAGCACTGGTTCAAATTAGATACTTGTGAAGTCAAAATACTAAGTCTATGGTCTCGTATGAATTAGAAACTCAAATTACTGATATTGACAAGCTTGAATATAAAATAAGAGCCTCTTATATTTTATATTTGCTAAGATATTGCTCATGTAATAAATCAAACACAGTCCGAGGGACCGAGCCCGTGCTGAAAGAGTTAATAGTTCTTTCTCTCATTTAATTCCATATTATCTACAACAAATAGAAAGCCAAGGTTTTCACTATGAAATGATGTATTATGTTACATTGTTTTCTGAACATAGAATTGCCAATTTCTTTGTTAGTTACCATGGGAAAGATAATAACTAGCTTGAATGATTTTGTAACAGCTCTAGTCATATAGTTAGAAAGCCAGAAAAATTGTGATAGTTAGGGGAAATTGTCTACATGTTATTATTCCACATTTTTTGATAAACTATTAATTAAATAAAAATTATTTAGTGCATTACTACCATTAGTATAAAAAAAGTGGGGTGAAGTGTCATCAAGATTCGACAGTAAAAAAAAGAACTCGGGTAAGTACATTATTTATTTGACCAACCACGTGACATGTTTGTACTCGTATAAAGTCTATATAAATTTGATACTACTAACGTTTAATATATTATGTATATCTTCACAAAATTTGGCAGTCTTTCAGTACACATAATAAGTTTTTTACATACAAAAAATCATATTTTTTTAGTGAAGCGTTTTAAATAAACTAAAAAAAGATTTGTCCATGAATATTAATTTGACCAATCTCATCACCACCAAAATATATATCTAAATTACACTCTTTTTCTTTCTAGAATGACTTCAAATTGTAACTTTATCCAAAGTAGCTTCAAACTCCTAACAATATACATCTGTTTACAATTAAATTTTATTGTTTTATTGTCCTTGAACTGTGTATAACTACTATTCTCACCATTATAAGTCGTAAATCACTTGGGGAATATGCAGCTCACATTACGCTATCGAATTACATTACTCATGAGCTGCTCACGTGCATGCCTCATGAAACATTTCTAGTATTATTTATTTTACCTAATCTAACCTTAACTCACCTAAAAGATCCCTGTTTTTACATTTTAGTAACTTTTATAATAATAAATAAAGAATAAACATGAAAAACAAAAAATAAAGTACTTACCCGAGTATTCTTTTCTTGTTTTGCTATCGATGACACTCATCCCCACTTTTTTTTTTTTTATACTGATGGTAGTAATGCACTAAATAATTTATGTTTAATAAAACAATGCACCAAAGAACATAGAATAATAACATGTAAAAAGCAGACAATTTCCTCTAACCATCAAAATTTTTCTGGCTTTCTAACTATGTGACAAGAGCCATTACAAATTCATCCAAGCTAGTCATTATCTTTCCCTTGGGAATGAAGCTTGTACTAACAAAGACACTGACAATTCTTCATTCAGAAAACAATGTAATACAATATGTCATTTGATAGATGAAAACCTTGGTTTTCTATTGGTTATACAATATAGAATTAAATATAAGAGAGAGCTCTTAAACAATCCTGAAATTGAAGATGTGACAGGTGGGTGTGGCAAGAGGGGTCTGATTTTTTATTTGATGGCTCTGCAACCAAACAAAATTGAAGGTTATAAAAATTATGATATGTTTGTGCAATGATGATTTTATAGTGAGTAATTTACATTGAATTTCGTACTTATTGGAAGGGTGGTGGATAATATAGGGGAAATTCAGGATTTTTTGAAATACTGCCTTATAAAATTAAGAACTTCAAACTTGTATACTATTAAAATATCAATTATTAGGTAAGATTTTATGCTATACTGATTAGTATAAGTAAAAAGTAGCTTAATACAATTAAAATGTATTAGTCACTAAAACCTTGTGATGTGTGCAGTAAATGATGCCCGGGCAGACAGGGTTAAGAAGGAATGAGACATACCAAGTGTGTGTGTGTGTGTGTGTGTGTGTGATGTCCTTACGAAGTAGAGACATGAGATTCATTCCACACATATTAAGAAGGAATGCAACCATACCAAGAGTGCGCACGTGTGTGTGTGCTGTCCCAAGACTAACACTTCTAGCAAAAACTGCCTTTAAATTAGTGATTTCAGAATCACAGACTTCTAAAGATAATACCAAATCCATGAGAGTAGAAAGACATACTCTGATTATATTTCTTTAAAATAAAACCAGTTTAAATGTAAATAACAAGTTTAAGCTTTTCACTTATCATATTTTGAATTTCTTACATAAAATAGTTTATGTTCATGTAATACATAGATTAATTTCAGATTTTTACTCTCCAGCTAAAGGATTTGGCTTGATACAACACACTGACCATTCAAACATTAGGTTTAGATAAATTGCATATGTTACAACAATGAGTGTTGATCTTACCTGGCCTCGTTCATTGGTCTTCATCCCTAGAGCTCCTAGTTGTTTCTCCCTCATGGCCATGGCTAGTCTTTTTTTCTCATCTCTAGTCTGTTTTCTCACCTCTTCTATTTTAGCAGCTACATTGGGGTTCTCTTTTAAGGTTTCCATTAGGTTTTCAGCCAAAGAACCAACACGCTGATCACTAGAAACTTGCTCTAATCTAGAAATGTACCACAAATTATCCAGTAGAACTGAAACTGCAAAACTTGAAACTAAGTTTCACTGAGTTATTCTCTGAAACTACCTCATTTTATCCAACAACACAAGATAGTTATCACACAAGAAATTCAATAAATGTAAATCAACCATAAAAATAAAAAAATGAGCCTTGCAGTACTTTAAATCAAGTTTGAACAATTACCTGTGTATGATTGGAATACAATCTGCACTGACCCACAGCTGAGTGTTGACGTGTCCAGCACTAAGTCCTGTTAACAGTCTCAAAACATATTTCAAAGCTGGTTTCGAGGTGAACTCTTTCCAATCATCAGATGCCACCAAGAGAGCTGTCCTGTTACCAACAGATAATGTACATAACAAAATTAACACATTCTAATGATACTTCTAATTTACTTGTAGCTTCTAGTTTTAGTACTGACATAGTATGAAAGTAAAATATTTAAAATATGTTAACAAAACTTCTTTAATTAATGAAACTAAGTAACTGAAAAGTATGATTCTTGCATTTACAACCACACTTGAGAATAGTTAATATATATTAAAACTGTCTTTCTAAGCATTCAATACACTCTACAAGTACCTGGACATATCTATCCTCAAGAGTATACAACTTAAAATTTCATTAATTAATGCTCTTTTAATTAGTAGAGTTTACATCAATGAAATAAATTAATAATCTTCAACACTCAGATACTTTTCATATTTGGGTCTATCAATTTTTGTCTGTTTAATTTCATCTAGATAGTTCTCATCAATTGGAACAAGTGGACAATAAGGCTTTCTTTACTCTTACATGATTAGATTTTATTCAGTGATATTTCAACCTGAAGTTGACCTTTATTGATCTTGGCTTTTATGTTTACTATAAATAGTGATATTTTACAATTATTGACTAAAGGTGACAAATTTCAGAAAATTAGTTTAAATACAGTTAAGAAGAAATATTCGAATGTGAAGTTAAAATTAATTAAATCAATCAATATCTCCCAAGTTTTAGTAACAAAATCAAGGTGAAAACTTACTTGACTGGTGGAGCGTGAACTGTTAGGTACTCCAGTGCATCTTGTACAATTCCACGACCCAACATCAGATCTTTCAGTTGTTGGCCCTGGATGCTACGGTCAATTCCCGAAGTTAACATGCAGAAACATTCTAATTGGAGATCATCTTCTGTGGTATGGTCAAAGTCAAACTTGTTGAAGTTCAAGTAAGGTCGGAAGTGATTAATTAGCGTTTCCATTTTTTCCTATAGGAAACATTAAAGTTATCATCACATGTTCTAGAGCAAGTTCATGCTAACAAGTTTTATTTTTTTTTAGCACAACAGTTTTATGGACTATCTATTGAGGAAAAGTTAAAGATGTTATCACAGAAAAACAACTTAATCCAATGATCATCACAAAAATTGTCCTTATTCGCATAAAATAAAACTGGTTGAGCAGTACAAAGATATGTTTTAATGTAGTTACTTGTGTAACAAATTTGTAAACATCTAGATATCTTACTAGTTGTCTTTAGTCATCTTGCATTAAGCACCAAAAGTAAAATTAGTGAAATAGAACTAAAATTCTACAACTAACAACAGAAAGTAACCCCAGGTTTCAGACAATACGTTTACGATTTTGTCAGCTTCAGAAACTTTAAAAACTGTAAAACAAATCATGTGGATCATTAAATTTTACAGTTATTTACATCACCAACTTTAAAAATTTACTGTTTTCAAACTATGAGGAAAAAATAAATAATAATAATAAAAAAAATGAAAGCAAAGGCTATAGCTTTTGGCTTATTTATATCCACTGAAAAGTTGTATCAGCACAGACAGGAAATATAATGATTTTCACCATTTGAATAATAATAATTACAACAGGAAGCCAAATAATTGACAATTAGGGCTAGCAGTTTCAATTTTCTAATTACTTTACCCAAAACAAATGTTAATCAAATTTACATAAAAAAAAAATTGTCTCAAAATTTCAATTATAATTTCATCATGGAGGAACTATGTGGGGATACATCAGCAGTAGCTTTTCAAAATTTGTTATCATTTTTCACCTGTAAAACCCCAGATACTAGTCTGGAAACAAGCAGCATGTATTATAAAAAATTAACAATACCTTTATTTTTAACTGTAAATATTATATTGTATCACTAAAGAGAATAATTTTTACATAAACACCATGTTTGTTCCTAACCTGTCTGTTCCTCCTTCAATTACCACTGGTGTTAGTAAATATTTATAATCTGGTTATCCTACATCCAATGAAAAGTAGTTTAATAGGCTGCTCTCCAAGAATATTTTATTGTGAAACAACCCTGTTAACATTAAACTAATGACATCTTTATTATTATTATAATATTGTTTACAAATAAATCTTAAACATCACTCATAAGAATATAAAATCCCATTTTCAAATTTTTTTTATTATGATAAATGATACGTGAAAAAAGTTTTTTCTTTAACAGATATTAAACTAAATCAGTTGATGCTAATTATATATTATTCAAAAGACTAAGAAGTTAAAAATTCAACCAGACTTGATTAATACTGTCATTAATTTCCGAGGTTCGGCTAAAAAGCAGGATACCCATGTTCTTTCTCGGGGATAAAATACTTAGTAAATATTAGTATTATACAGCAGTTCAAAAACTAATGCAAGAAGTCTGCTGGATTAAATCATTAATTTCATAAAAACGTCTGTAATAAGTGTGTTTAGAAGCTGGAGTTGAGACGCAGTTCGTCAACAGAACAATTATAGAAACTGAAAAGATTTTTTTTTGTCATTAAGCACAAAAGTAATACAAAAGGCAATCTTTGCTGTGCTCATCACGGGTATTGAAACCAATTTTTTACGAGTCTTGAGACTTTTTGTCAATACACACCAACAAACCATAGCAAGTAAGAAAGTGACACTCGTTGGTAACCAACATTAGCTTTAGAATCGCAACCCTATTAACCGGAACAGACCTATACTTTACAGAACCAACCAGATTCTTTAAAATATACGGTGGTAGTTTTCCTCTCTAAAAAAAAGTTAATAGCTTCCTGTATACTAATGCCATGGAATTTAAATTAACAGTTTTTGTCATTACCTCAATGCAATCGGTACAGCCATATCAAGCATCATTATTTGTGCTAATTACTTAAGTTAATATCACACGATACTAAATGCTATATAACTAGGATAATTTAATAAAATTTAGCAAATTTGTGCTGAAAAGTTAGTAATGAAGAATGAATAATAACCATACACCCACATGATTCTTTTGAAAACTTGAGCTACAAACTGCTACTCTGGGTTACTTGGCTTAATTAATACTTGTGTACCTGCACATCCTTTTACCTTACAGTTTTGTTGTTCTAAATTAGCTGTCTGTAATTCGAATGACAAAAAACTAAAAACAGTCCATTTTACTGTAAAGTGAAGCTGTAGTAGGTGATAGCTCATGTGACATTTTGGGCAGGTGTGCACAAACTTTTGTTAATTTTGAGCAGTTTTTGTTGAATAACTTTGCACATATGGTTTATATTTACACCAAATGAGACTCCTAATTCTAGGTTGTAAAGATCTATCAATGTACTAAATTCGGAAAAAAACCCATAAAAGTTAAGTATATTTTTCTAGCAAATAAAGTTTCCATACTTTTGGTGCAAAGAAAAAAAAATAGGAAGAAAGTCAATCAAAATTGGAAATGCTATATCTCGGGTATTTCTCAATGGATTGCCTTGAAATTTGGTATGTAAAGTTAGAGCCCAGTATAGAATATCCATTAAAAAATTTGATAGTTTGGATTACCACAGTCTGCAACTTACTTGATTTCCTAATGTGAGGAATGGAACTACCCTCATCAGGAGCTGGAGGAGGCTTGAGTTGTTCCGGACCATTGACGTGGTTACAGTAGAAAGCAGGAAGGTGATGTCCTTTTTATCTCCAGATGCAGCACAGAACGTTTTGTAAGTCTCCAATGACTGGTCAGCTGCCTCCACTAGTATAGGCTCCATGATCTGAATGATCTGCTCCGTAATGGTTGGCCCACCTGGAGAACCCTGCACCAGTTCTGACGACTCAGCAGACAGTGCCAGACAGAGAGTTCCTAGCATCACTCGAATAGTTCCCATGTTTGGATCTATAAGTTTTTGCCTGTTTGATTTTACCTAAATAGTTATAACCAACCATAATTTTCATTAAAATAAAGTCATCACAAAGATAGGTTATAGTTTTTAATATTCAACATCACATCACAGTTGAAGAAAAAAAGAAAATGATACTGTTAAATTTTCTGTAAATTAAATAAAACAAACTTTTCTTCAAAGCAAACAGGAAGAAGAAGAAGATGAAAGAAAGAAATAATGGTGGAAATAATTATGACAGCTTAGGGGTAACACATACACAAAGAACCTGCACATTTCATGGAAGAAGAGAAGCAGATATACAGAGCTATTAAAGGTTTATGCAGTTTATAGCATACTCAACTTTTTATTAATTTAGTATAGTTAATTGTGTATGATTGGTACTTGCTAAACCTAATGAGGCTTACCTATTGCTTTTATAACTTTCAAAATTGTTGAAATATTACAGTTAGAATTATCATTTTTACTTAAATTTTGAAGTTTGATATGTAGGTGTGCACTCAACAATTCAAATGTACTCACCATTCATGATAATGTTAAGAGCACTTGATCTTTTTGATAAGACAGATGGCACTACGTTACTGTTAAATAAAGTCCCAAGATATTATAATTTTGTAATACTGACTTAACTTTGCTACAATTAAAGACTCTGTTTTATGAGTGATTACTGATATTTTAAATTACTACTACATATAACAATGTATGCTTTTGTTTGCATTTTTCTGAATGTTACGAGCTTGCAATACACTATTTTTAAATCATTCTAGTAACATCCGATATTTCATGCATTGTTTGTATTAATATTGTCTTTGTATAGTCATTCATCTTGCTAACTAATCTTTTATTAATCTGGCTACCATAAGAGTTAACTCTTCAGTACTTTAATTTGTTCAGTTTGTTATCCTGGACATGCACTAAACATTCCAAAGTTGGTACACATACTGCACTCAACACTTGCACATAGACATGATCCAAGTTTGGGTCAATGCTCCAAATTTTATGCTGATAAAACTTTACAATATTACATAAAAGTTGCAAATCTGACAAGTGCAATTATCCTTTGCTTCGTTTGCATAATATTAACTGAAAGTTTGTGGTGCTCTTTCAACTGGACGAGAGTTAACTGTCAAGGTTATGGTGCTCTTTCAATAGTACTAGAATCATGAATCAGTCTGCTTCTTAAGCTTCATCTAATTCATGTATGGTAACCAGTGAAAATGATTTTCTCCTAACACTAATTACCAGCAAGAACCAGATCAGTTTAATTAGTGACTGTGGTTTGTGGTACACCCCATTACATTACCAGCACTTGTAACCACAACACTATTAACCTACCTTAATGCAATAGCCAAACAATTTCAGCAAGACCATCAGTAGAGGTCGCCCTCTTGTCAAATCATCAATAGCTGCTAGTCTTTCTAACATGACCTCAAGACCTCCACACTCACTCATGACATTAGCCATTTTGTACACTTCTTCGGTGTCTACTTCTTCTGTATCCTTGTTGTCTAAGTTTTCAATAAATTCTTCTGTGGCATCTCCCAGAAGCCCCCTCATTCGATAAATGATCCTCATGGCTTCTGTCTCATTGTTCTCACTACACCAAACCTGGTAAACAGATTTTTTCTTTTCATCCATGTAATAATTTTCTCACTTTTAGAAAATATTAAGCAGATGTTATAAATAGCACATAACAGATATTCATGATTTTCAATTGATATTAAAAAAAAAACTCTCGTACATATAATAAAGAAAACAGAAATATTCAAATGGGTTAAAAAATCAAATATGGTTTTAACACCCAAATTATACAAAACTTTTCATGTGGGTACTAATACCTTCTTGTATACATCTTTGACTGGGAGATCAAGAGAGATTATCTTGTTATTCACCAAGAGTTCCATACCACTATCATCTTCTAGCAATGCTACTAACTCACAATCCTGACATATTTTGTTCTTCACATCTCGCATTAATGGCCCCATTCCTGGTTCCGTAGAGCTGTATGGATTTCCAAGCATTCTGCCCTGCAAGAAATCTTCCTGCTGGGGATCTTTTTCCAGTGTGATAAAGAACTCTCCAGTATCATTCTCCTCCTGGTAGCAAGGAAAACCAGCAATAAGTATTAAAATAATATTCTGTTAAAAACAACAATTAGAACAGACCAAGATCTACAATGAAGTTATGTGTTGAATAAAACATTTTTGATACAAGTTATACTTTCATCAATAATGTAAGATACATAATGAAAAGGAAAAAACATTTATTCTCCAAAAATAAAGTAAAATATATATCAAGGAACACAAGGTTGATGAAACTCACAAAAGTACTTACAGGATATATAATGGAACAAAGTCTCTCAAAGATGAAAACTGGAGTACGCAAGTCTTCAAGCTCATATTTCTTAACAGTCTCTACACACACAGACATGAATGCCTTGGTCTCTGATTCTGTTCCTACAAAATACAACTGTATTATGGACTCAAAATTTTTCATGTTAGTTTTAAGACAAAAAAAATAAAAAAATCAGTTTTTAAAGCATACAAACATCCCAACCATCATACCTTTACAAAACTAAAGATATTACTAAATATTTGTTAAACAAATTTGTATAATGGACTTTGAGTACTTTCCAGCATTTGCCTTGAATTTTGAGCACTCTAAGAAGAAGAAAAAATTATTTGATCTTCCACTTACAGTTTATCTTCTATTTAACAGGAGTTAAGATTTACACTTTTGACAAAAACATTGATATATTTATTTTTATAGTTAGATCAAATTTATTTCCTTTAAAAATTATATGAAGAATCTGTTTTGAATTTAACTAACAAAATTAAAAGACGAACATTCTAAGTTTCAGGTGCTTGATACAAAAAAAGGTTTGTTTTTTTTTTGGGGGGGGAACCAATTTTGTGGGTAACCAATACAAGTTGCAAAGTAAACCTGTATGAATTTAAAAAAGGGGTGGAGGAAGGATTTCATTCAAGCGAGTTTGTCACAGCGCAATCAAAAACATCCATAACCTTCTCCTCCAAGAGAAAAACAGATTTACCTGTAGTCATTTCTTCTAGAAGTTCCAACAGTTTTTCTTGAGTTTCATCTATCAACTTTGTTCGCTGGACAATTAGTTTTCGTAATGACAAGTAGCCATTTAGCACACATCCTACCAGTCGACTCTTGTAATGCTGTCTTATACTGTCTACCTCAATAAATGAAGCCAGAAGCTCTGTCTGCATTTTTAGAGCATAACCTGAAAAATTAATAAATTAATTTTTACTCAACACTTTGCAGAACAGCAGTTTTTATACGTATCTGATGTAATACAGCTTTCAAGTCCATGTAACTCATATATAGACTTAACACATGTTTATTCTGGGTCAGTTCTGTGTTAAAATTATTTGTTTGATTTGCTGCTAAGCACAAAGTTATTCAATGGGCTATTTGTGCTGTACCCCTATGGTATCGAAGACCAGTTTTTAGAATTCTGAGTTTTCAGACTTATTGCTGAGCCACTGGGGGCAGTGTGGAAACACTGAATTTATGAAATGTTATACAAGAAAATGTAATAATGTAATTCTGCTTTTGTAAACTCTTGTTTAATGTTTTCTGTAGTGCTAGTGAGGAAATAAATCAGAACATGATATTCCAAAATAAAGCATTAAGAACCAAGATGCAAATTATTTTATTTCAGCATATTAGCAGTGTGTAGGGTAGAAGAAGTGCCAAACACAAAGTTTAGGATACAGCATGACAATTTTTTTTTTATCAGAGTTTACTGATATATATATTAGACTACTAAACAAATTTTAGTTAATATAAACGACGAACCAAAGATGATGTGATAATGTAATATTTATTTATTTGAATTTCATGCAAAGCCATTCAAGAGCTATCTGTGTTAGCCATTCCTAATTTAGAAGTGATATGCTGCAACATACGAATTTCAAAACTGGTTCATTTACATAACTAAGACTCCTACCAAACTAAAAACAATATATATATTATTTGCCTCAATCTTATGAAGTACAAGATGAAAGATACAATCTGGAAATTAATGTATTTAGAAACAACACAAATAAGAGGTCAAAAAAGTCTTTACCCTCACACAACTCTACCAGTTACAGTTCTAAACTGAAACACCTCTTAAATGTAATAAAAACACATCATAGTTGTAGTAACTTTAAAGTTGAAGAATCTAAAAAAAAGGAGGGAAGAGATGCGACATTAAAAATTTTAAAAGTTAGATATCATAGATAGCAATGAAGATCAAATCTTCAGAAAAACAAGTACCCAATTTCATGTACAAGTTCATTCATGAGATATTTTCCATCAACAAAAATAGTTCTCATTGGAGGGAGAGATTTTTTTCAAAATTACTAGCTAAGTTCCAACCATCCTGATTTTCCCCCACACTTCTGCAAGTTATTAGTTTCAGAGAATCTTTTGCCAATAACTCTAAGCTGGTTTGTAAGTTTTTCTGATTAATGAGCAGGTTAATAAAAAATTATATGAAATGGTTAATACTATTGAGGTAGAAAATTCTTACCCTAATCCTTACATGTTATGACATAAAATTAATGAAATATTACATTAATCAATTTTAATCCAGTTCAAACCAGAACAATTGTTTTAAACAGATTTGCTAGTATATATTAAAAAAGCCTGAAACACTATGTTTGTCATATCCAAGCCAGCCTGAAGAGCCTTGACATTGTTCGAAAGGATTCATCAGCACTGGATGTAGCAGACACGAAATGGTTGACATACTATAAAAATGTCTTTAATTAAAGCTGAATTTTAAATACGGATTAACAGATTTGCAGAAGTCCTGACTATCTCTTATCACAAACAAGTGCACACACCTTGAGAAAGATCAGACGTTAATGTTGTCTCTTCCAAGTGAGTTAGGCGTTCTATTTCTTGTGTAATGAGATTGCCTAAATGTGGAAGCAATCCTTGAAGTGCCAAATAGTGTTTCCAGTGACCCGAGTGAATCAAGCATTGATATAATGTTAAGTACTCTGTTGCACTTTCTCCAGCTGCCCCAAGGTCATCCAAGTAAGCTGTAAGCATGTCCAGAATTTCTCGCTTGCGAGTAGGAACCTGTAAATAAGGTGATTTAACACACCATAGTCAATCAGAACACCACAAATTACTACATGTTTTAATATTATAACTTACATTTAAAATAACACCAAATATTTATAATTATAAGGACAAAGCTTACCTGACAGAGGGAATCCATAACAGAACAGGCCACAGCACGTGCAGCACGAGATGACTGACTGAACAATACCTGTCGAAGCCAATTAGAATGCAACAGCTTCAGCTTGACAGCATGTCGTCGAGTTTTTTCCAGCCAACGGGAAGCATATTTTCTCATCAAAACTTGAGCACGAAGTTCTTCAGTCCTCAGTTTTTGAGGTTTAACAACAGAAGATTCCGACTGTCTTTTGGGCATAGATTGTTTCCAGGCTCGATAACTGTGACGGGGGTCTCCAGCAAGCCACTTATGAAGGTTGACACCAGCTGTTGTTCCTAGATAGAGAGAAACAATGAAATAATACTGAAAATACCTGGCAGATCTCTTATTGATATATTAAAAGTTATAGAGCAAAACCTAAGATCAAAGCATTAGAAGATATAGGATATACTTTGGATATTGTGTGGTCTAAAAAATACTGGAAATGAGCTATTTAACTATTGAAAAGATGGATTTCAGCATTACAACAGATATTAAAATCAGTGACACAAATCAAAATCTCAACATTTGTTAAATTGTTTTATGAAAAATAAAGCATCCAAGAAGCTTTGTAAAAAGATAGGGCAATTCAATTTTCATTACAAATTAAACTACATAGGGCACAAATACAATTCACGAATTATGAGGTGCTTACAGAAGAACAACAAACTCACATTTAATAAAAGCAGAACTGTTAAACGAGCTAATGCTTTAATTTCTAATAATAATGATTGTGGCTTTTCTTCCCAAAATAATAATGCTTATACATCTTGAGTAAAGTTTACTGTTCATGAGTACTTCTAATTTATCTTTCAGAAGCCAAGCACACTAAGTTCATGGTTCAGCTACACTATAAACCTGAAGTTCCCATAACTGCTAGTCTCTCTCGACTTCTCACAGTATAGTATTCATAGTTTATCATGTGTCAAGATCAGAGTATGCTAACCTGAAGTTCTTACACTTGCCAGAGCTTCTACTGTCTTATCCTTCAGCTTCTTATTACTTGGGGCTTCAGATCTGATTAACATCTGCAAAGTTTTTAGGCAAGGCAGAGTGATGCTTTCCATGACAACTGGAGCTCTGCTGTTTACACCCACCAAGAACAGCTGCATGACACACCTAGCACATCACACAAAATAAAATAAACAGCTGCACGACACCCAGCACATTACAAAGAAAAACAAACAATTATTTCCTTATTTAATTATTAACTAATAAAATCTTAGTTTAAAGTTAATTTTTTTGCACCTACTTATAAGATGGTAAAAATATAATTCAGAGAAATAATCCAACTAAAATTAAGCTTAACTCATTATCACAGTATTAAAAAACACACCTTATATTAGACTGGATTATAAATATGTAAACGTTTTAAAAAGATAAATTGGTTTTGAGCACAAAGTTATCAGCATATCATTTTAACGAATCCAGAATTTCTGCACAACTTGGATCCTAGATTGTCTTCTTAGATTGACACATAAGACTAAAGAGAAAGTTGTAGAGATTGGTCCAAAAAAAGGAATTGCCAAGAATTGATGCTAGTTTGAAGATGTAAAAATTCATAGGTTACCAAATGTTCATTAATATTTTAAACAGCAGGTAACAACTGTCAGACAATAGGACATCGCACCTACAGTGTCATCTAGTACCCACTTTACCCAGCCAAGTTCAGTCTATGAGGATGTCTATCTATATATGAAGTTCTAGTTAAAGTGCTTTTGTCCTAAAACACTCATTGCTCAATTTATTTACATTTTTCTTTATACAATGCAGCCAAATTGTGCAAAAACAGATTTTGTACTTTTCTTCAGCAACTTGCAATAAACTAAACAACCAGAACAGGAAAACCATAAACTTCCAAAAATATCTTTGATACCTCAATATAAGTATCTAAAAATGTGAATAAAATCAATTAAGAGGGTTGGGGTCAGCCAGAAACTCAAACCTCAACATATAGGGTTTAACAACTCTTATTATTTCTTAACACTAAGTCTTGTATTATTTAGAATTCTTAGATGTAAAAATGTGATTTCTATGAAGTTTCAATGTGACTAAAAAACTAAATTTATTAAATGTAACAAAAGTTTGTAACACCAAAGTTTATGGAAGTTGTAATGACAAACTACTCATGAACATGTTGAATGTGTTGTCAATCTGAACCAGATGACCAAAACACTTCTTTTACTTCCTCTTTGTTTAACAATGGCATTTTCTATCTATCCATACTTCTAAATCCAAATGCATTTAACATAAAAAAAAGTTTTTATATATATATATATATATATTTTTATCATATCTTACCTAAATGCACTTATAGATAATTAAAACGTTCCCTCCCACAAACCTTAGTGACTGTTCCCAGCATGAGTCTTCCTTCTGTAAACTACTTGCTAAAAGTGCCACTTCATGCCGAACAGCTCCTGCTAAATCAGGGTTGATCTTATGTCCTTTCAAAGCTGTGGCTATCTTTTCCATTAACAAGGAATTCAAATCATTAGTTGCTTTTGGATTATCTTGTGTCAGTAGACATAGCAACTTACGAACCTCACAACGAACCTGCACAGTTCCATTTCGAAGGTTACATTCCACCAGTTCTTTTATTAGCCCCTGGCTACAGAGATCCTGTCGATAACGCTGACTCGTTGCTAGGGCTCTAAGCAATGTAATACAGTGCTCAACTGCAGCACTGGAACAGCCATAACAACGGCCCTGAGATGTAGCTGTGCCAAGTTTCTCTGTTGATGATGATGTCATAATCCGAACCATACCTTCAGTGGATAATGATGTGGTAGAAGATGCATTCTTAGCACGAGATTCTCTTTGCCGTCTCTCGTACTCAACCAGTTCTTTCCGTGAAGCTAGAACCTGTTTCATAAAGAGATAACCAAATATCTGTAAATTCACTTAGAGTTGTTGATGTTTCAAATGTATTTGAAAGAACACAAATTTTTCCCTTTATATAGCTAAATAACTTTGTTTTATATTTATTAAAATAAAATTATTCTCTCTCTCTATATATATATATATATATATACACACACACACACACACACACACACATACATAGATACATACTTGTACTGAAAATTCTTATAATCCTTGTATTTTGGTGAGGATCAAAGTTGTACTTTGGGGGTGTATACTTTAATGGTACTGTCATAAATTAACTAAGGAAAGAAAAAAACAGGGTTGTCTGCCTATTTATCTGGTGTTACAAGTTGTGAAGAACTGACTGTAGTAGTAGAGGAACTCATAGATAGAGATTAAACAAATGAGTAAATGGCTGAACAGATCAAGTCTGGCAGACATTTCCATTTTATTATATGAACCAAACATCAAACAAATGTGACATTTAATGCCACATATGATATGGGTTCTGACAGCCTGTATTTAGTAGACCTGCACGGTGAACGACACGCACCACCTCACCAACCCCACAGAGCCATAAAATAAATGTTACATAAGGCTCAAAATATATGAATACAAATATTGATATAATACACACAAGAAAATATAGGTCAGATTAAACACTTGCCATTCTTTTTTTCCTTATATTTGTACAGAAAGTTTTTACAATCCCTGTATTTTGATAACAATCAAAAGAAAAAAATAGTTACATGATTGGTAAAAAGATAAATAATCATAGTTTGAATAACTTATTTATCAACATTATTATTTGACAGTATTAAAATCAAATCATGTCACCATTATTCGTCATGTTGTTGTCTAACTATTCATGTCACCATTATTCATCATGTTGTTGTCTAACTATTCATGTCACCATTATTCTTCATATTGTTGTCTAACTAATCATAAACTAGCAGTTTAATATCTATACAGAAAGTGTTTATCCATGGTGAACGTTTTAAAAAAGCTTTGGGAAACATGTCAAAACAAAGAAGGTCCTTCCACACAATCTTAAGACATTTCTTTCTTTATGATATGCAACTCAAAAGACACATTTACATGAAGCATCAGATCACTGGTTTCCAAACCATATGTTGTAACACATTAATATGTCAAAGCAAGTTCCTAACGGTGTTGTGAGAGTTTCACCAAATGAAGAATAATTAAGAATATAAGAAAAAAACTTCACAAAATAAAATATTGCATGTGGCAGGAGGAGTGTCACACAAATCAAGGTAAGTGGGTTAGTGTGTCATCAGTGAAAAAAAGTTTAATGGTACTGTCATAAATTAACAATTCCCTGCTTCAGAATAATATTAAGCTTCACTGTAAATGAAAATCAGAACCAAAACCTTAAGACATTAAATTATTTACAAATCTGAATAGCTAAGAAAAGTTATATCTATAGCTGAATGCTTACAATTTTATTTCTTTGGTCAAAAACTAAACACATGAAGTTTTAGTTGTGTCCAATCCAATAACAAGTTATTATAATACTTTCAGTCTTCAAATGTTACATAAATAAGATTTTAATGATGGGCAAATACACCACTGTGTGCCCTTACCTTCTGTACAATCTTGCTAAGTTCATCAAATGAAGCTTTGCAATCAGTGCCATATTTCTGGGCTAGTTGTTGAATGCCCCTATTGACATTGGATGCAGGATTTCCAGCAGCAGCACTATCTTCTGGTATCCTTTCTACCATCCCATGCTCGTGGATCCGAAGTAAAAGGTGTTCTAGAGCTGGGATGTTAGCCATGAGTTGCTTATATACTCTGTCAGCTTTCTCAAGAAGGTTGTTAATGGTAGTTGTAGCTTTCTTTCTGTCTTCTTCATTCTCAATAGGATCAACAGCACAACAAGGTTTTGCTGTCAAGGTGTATTCAAATTTGGCATACTTGCAAAAACCACAGGAATTACAAAGAAAAGGATCTTTTTCATCGTAGTTGATAGCCCGACACTTGTGACATTGGAAAACATTCTCTCCACAATTAGCACAGACTCCAGGATTGGCTGGTACTGAAGCACTACATCTAGGACACTGTAGTGTTTCTGATGAGGCTTGGAAATTCTCATAAAAATCTGCATACTCAATCATCAGATTACAAGCAACGATAGACAAGGGAAACTCTATCTTAAGCTCAGTCTGGCCTGCAGTCAGTACACACTTTTTGGCTTTATGCCATATGGAAGGTCTGTTTTTAAGCTCCACCACAGACTGCACAGTACGGTTGTTGTAGTAAATATTCAAAGTTCTCACCATTTTGCTACGCTTCAGCTCAGCAATACGCAAGCTGATCTTAGAGATAGTATGACTGCCGATAAGTTTGACCATCTGAGTGCTGGTGGTGAATCGTGAATCAACCTTGATTGCTGAGAGTTTAATATTGCTCCAGGGAACTTCAGGGTTATTACAAACGAGGCAAGGCTCACTTTCGAGATAGTATCCATCAAACTCTACGTAACCCTGTAAAGCACTGTAGATAGTAGAATTGGGGTGGGTCATAAGTTGTTGGTTCTGTTGACGAATAACTCCCAAAGCTTTCTCCATATAGTCTTTGTCTTTCTTCTGCGAAGCAGATGTTTTTAGAGTAAAGAATCCAAGCAAGTCGACGAACTGGATAGCTTTACGACCATAAACAGGGAGCAGAGGCCACAATTTCCACATCAGATCCAGTAACTGTTCCTGCTGCAAAGAACTTGAGTTCTTATACAAGTGGAAAATAAGTGAATGAGCCTGCCAACGCACAGATGTGGCATTTGACTCCAACAGGAAGTAACGAATAAACTGGCTGAGCAAAGCCTTATCAAGGAACTTGTTTACTTGTTGAGCTAGAGCAATACACTGGGCTTCATCATACCTTGGAGCTTCTTCTCCCTCTTCAGATTTTTCTCTATCTTTCTTCTGCTTAACTGGAGAGCTTGAAGGCTGTATACCAGCAGAACCACAAAGAGCAGACTGCAGTAACTGAAGGAGAACAGGTGAAACTCCCTCTTCCAACAGGAAACTCACATGGATTAAGAAAGACAAAACACTTTCATCCTTCAAGCAGAATTTCTGCCAGTTGATGGTGCGTGTTGTTGCAATTTCAGTACATGCTTTTAGGTGTTCAATAAGGGTAATAAGTGAATCATAGGGCAAGCTAATGACAGCATTGTTTCTTGCTCCTCCATCATAACCTCCTTGATGACAAATTACTTTGACATTCTTCACATGAGATTCTAATGCATGAAAGTCTCGCAACTGACGATATTTCTCCTTAGAACCACAGATAAAGAGTAACAGTTTCCGAACTTGTCTCTTCACAAAAGGAGCTTGAGGCATCATCATGTATTCACACAAGTAAGAGTACCAGGCTTGGTTAAATACCAGTGGAGGACTTGATGGCAAAGAACTAGTCAGTTTCTTGATTTGATAGGGCAGTCTTATCACCATTTCCGTTAGCAATTGCTGATAAGCTTCGAAAACATCATTGGCATGACCCTTAACGTATGGCCGCAAGAAGAAAGGAGACATATCTGGTGGAGGGGAGTCAGGGTGGGGTTTCAGCAGACTTATGCTCCCTGTTGACTTTTCTCCATGAGTAGCCTTCCAGTAATCCAGCATGACCTTTAGCACTTGTAAACAAAAGTCAATGGTATTATTGTTCAGGAGGGCAATAGCAGCATTGGTGCTACAAAATGCTGAAGCTTCTCCAAGTAGTGGCTTGAGGGAGGTTCTCACTCGTGACATCATTATGCTCAATAATCTCATAATTATCAGCTGAACTTCGCGATGAGAAGTGCGTTTAGTTAGTCTGTTCACATCATGATTTCCCATTTCTAGTTCAGCAATGACAGCTGACAATAAACTGTCCAAAGTAGCTTTGTCTTTTTCATCTTTTCCTTGCAAGTCACAGCTGAGCATTAATAGTACCTGAAAGGAGGTAAGAAACTGTTAAATCAAAATACATTTCAAAGGAAACAACACTGTTTATACTATCTGGTCTACAATATCTCTTAGATGTTAATGTTTTATTTCTTATTAATTGCCACACACATTACATATGAATATCAAAAGTGAAATTATAAAACAATTTTTTACCAAAAATATATACACAACTCCAACTATTTTTTATATATCTTGAAATAAACTTAGCTTTTCAATAGTTTTATGCTTACACTGTTAAACAGGAAAGCCTCTTAAAATATTTTACCTACCACTACAATAAAAAGAGAATTAATAACTAGAACAATATAGTCTTCCTACTTAGAACAGAACACAACCACAAACCTGTGAGTATGGAATAGCCCTCACTCCTGCAACATCTCGAAGTTCTGGTAGATATTGTAACAGCTTTTCTAGCAGTATTAGTCGTAACGAATGTAGTCTGTAACTTGTATCTACATCTGTTTCCAGTTCCAGACCCTCAGCTTCATGTGGCATTGACGTGCTTGGAACGCCTACAGAGCTAGTTTCAGAACGAGCCCCAGTGGTTGTGCTTTCATGAACATTATCTCCATAAGCACTACTGCGGCCACTCACATTGTGCTCACCTGTTATGGAATCAACACCACTTCCTCCACTTTCTGAACCAGCACTTCCCCCCTGGAATAAAGAAAAAAAACTTTAAAGCCAAAACATATCTTTCAAAATATTGGTAATTTCTAAAATGTTCATTAAGAGCTTAGATATTTGTATAAAAGGTGAAAAAATTTCAAAAAATTATGACTGATATTTGAAAATATTAGGTTGTCAAGAAATTAATGTAGTGTTTTGGAACACTTTCATTAACCAACCCACAAAAAATGTACATCATGAATAATAGTTAAACAAACCACCTAAACGTCACATTAGTGTAGCCTATATAATTTTTAAAGTTTAGTGTGCTCTAATCCCTTATAGTGATGGCACAAGACAAGACACACATTCGGCATGTAACGCTGTTCGAATACAAGAAGGGAACAACGCCTCTGTAGCCACAAAGAATATCAAAGAAGAAGTTTACAGAAATATTTTGAACGTTCGTAAGTATCAACGATGGTTCAGCAAATTTTGTTCAGGTGACTTTAGTCTTAAAGACTGTGATGGCAGAGGCAGACATGTTGGAATTGATATTGATGCTCTGAAGACGCTTGTTGAGTCTAACTAAAGGCAACACACTCATGAAATGACCCTGAAATTGCATGTCTCTTTTTTTATGAAACAGTATGTAAACATTTAAGGAATATGGGGAAACTCCAAAAAGAAGGTGTTTGGGTGCCTCACAAACTCTATGATGATCATCGTTTCCAACATGCGAACGTTCTTTCGTCTCTTCTGGCACGCAATGCTCGTGAACCATTTTTGGACAGAATTATCAATGGTGATGAAAAATTGATTCACT